TACAAAAGACTGTAATCTTCCTTATCACTTCTCTTTTCTATGCTCCATAAAAACGCTTCATGCATTTTCATGGCCCAAGTACTTCTGAAACTCTTCTTTTTTCTTCTGGGGAGTTGAAAGCAGACATTTTTGGACCTGTTCAAATCTTGACATACTCAAAATCCTTAGAAAATCTTTCCCCTTTTCCTCCTACGTTTGGTTTTAAAGAGGAGACATTTCCTTTTCAAGGACTTCTTTCCAGCTTTTAGGAAGCTTATAATTGGAAGCATTATAGACAGCAACAGCAAGCCCAATTATCTGAAAGATCCACAGACCCAGGACCGGTTCATACATGCTAACGCATAAAATGATTTTGATATGGTTTAGCAGAGCACATGAACTCACCCACATTGCAAGAGCTTAGATGTACAATCCGGCTATGTCTCCCCACTAAGTAGCTATAATGCTCAATAATCTCTAGGATGCCTCAACAGCACCTACTGCTTCTTCGATAAGGTGGCCCTCTCATCTGCTTCAGTGTACGGGGCAAACTGTCACCACCCCATCACCGAAATATTTGCAATTTACTTCACAGTTGCTGGGAAACAATGAAAAGGGTTAAGACGGCCCCTCAATCCAAAAACTCAAGGGCTGGGTGCATACACTTAACTTGCTTAGTGAATTAATACATTTTCTAGCATTGCACGACACACCAAATCCTAAATTAACCAAATGATCTGGCTTCACACAACTTCCTAAACTACCCAAAAAAAAACCCAACCCAAACATAGCAGGTTGTGTGAATGGAGCTGCAAAATCTTTAATGAGCCAGGATAACCATGCTATGGAAAGGCAGTAAATTCCCTCAGAGGATCTGCAGAAGTTCCTGACAATTATCAACCCCATTCTTGTAAAAGAAGCCACCAAATTCCTACTTGCTGCAGACCCCATGTGCTAAAATAAACCTCTCCACTTCTAGGGAAAGGCCAAGGTTCCCCACCATCCCAACTCCAGGAGAATGAAGAGGTCCTTCTCAAGTGACCACAGTGGTCAACCCCAAATGCTCCCAAGAGAGCTCCCCCAAGCCCAAGTGCTACACAACCCAGCTGCCCCCATCCTGGCTTTAGGGCAACCTTCTCAACCTGATGTGTTCCCACCACCCTCAAGTCTCTAAGGAAGAGACCCTTCCCCAGTAAGGGGTGCTGGTCCTACCAGTGGGACCCTTGTCATAGCCAAAGGAGAAAAGCTAAATGGGGGGCCAGGGAAGACACCAGGATGGAAGTCAAGAGGAGAAGCAAGGGCCAACAAGCTGGAGGGCCATGGGCCAATGGGCAATGTAGTCCAACTTCCCTGGGGATGATAGGGCAAGGATCAAAGGCATATGAAGGGCAGGGGCTGGGCGGGGGGCTTGTGAGCACTGTAATCCAATGGGGATGGAAGCTGGGAGGAGCAGAAGCAAGGGCCAACAAAGCTGGAGGGCCGTGGGCTGATGGGCAATGTAGTCCAACCACCCTGGGGGTGACAGAGGCAAAGATCCAAGACATTTGAAGGGCAGGGGGTGGCTTATGAGCACTGAAATCCAACGGAGAGGAGAGGAGAGGAGAGGAGAGAGGAGAGGACGGGAGAGGAGAGGAGAGGAGAGGGAGCAGCTGTGGCCCCAACACCTGGAAGCCCCCTGCGGGGAGCGCTGGGGATTATGGGAGGTGCCTTCCCAGCACTGCTGAGGGGCCCGGGGGCGTTGACGGAAAGGGCCCCCTCATCCCATTTAGCCCCCCCTCCAGCGCGTCCTGCGACCCGAGGATGATGGGCGCTGGAGTCGCGGTCTCCAGGGCCGG